TCTTCGGGAGAGAAATTTCTGGCAGCCGCCTGATATGACGCGTCGTTTTTCGCGCTTACCAAAACGTTGCACAGCGCGAGCAAAGTTCGCACGCGCGCCGCGAAAGATTTATGTCGAGCCGGCCTTGCGTCTCGTTTTTAACGGCGTTTTTTATCGAGTCGATTTTTCCATTTTCCTACGGTCTCGCTCGACGTAACGTTTATCTTCGTCGGTATCTTCGTCGGACTAACAACGCGAATCGACGTAACGTATCGTTCGATCTGCCTGGGAATGCGATGTAACCGATTGCATTGTCCGCAATCTCTCGCATATAGCGTAGGTGCCGGCGGAAATTCTTTTGTTGAAAAACCAGCGTTTGCTTCGGCCTCGGGGAAAATTGAGTGTTCGACGTGCAATAACGCCGAGCGATAAGCGACGTAAAAGGGGACGATCGTTTATTTTTACGAAGCTCTGCGATATATCTCGGAATATATTTTCTCGAGTTTAACTTATCTCACAGCGCGAGCGCGACAGGTCACTTCGAGCAAAAATCCAAAATAATAAGAATTCTACATGCAGATTGACGAGGAAGAGAAATTTGTGTAGAGAGAAGAACGTATGACTCAACGTATGACGTTGGAAAGAATAATTACAAAGACGAGTGTCTGCGCAAATGATTTTATCGTCGCATCTTGATTACATCTTGACTCGCGCGACGAAATGTTCCCGCTCGCACGTCTCGCTGTTTATTTTGAACACGTCAAACAAAGAAATGACGTTCGAGTATCTTGTATCATTTTTATTTATCGTCTCGACGCGATAACACGTCGATGAATAACTAGCAGCGTGTGATCGTCACTCATTTTTACGATCCGCGGCCCCGCGAAGGAACACATTAATCGCCCCGCCGGCAAGAAACGCGACGAATCCACCGTGTAATCGCGAACTTCGGCAAACTCGTGCGCGACGGCGGTTTATTGTTCAGTCGTCCGATTATTATTTTCCCGCTGAGAAAAAGGATATTAAACGGCGGCGCACACCTAGGCAGAATGTACGTATCTGGGTGTACACGACGCGGCCGTTTCTCGCGCACCTCTCCTTCATTTTCCCGCAGCTCCGATGCATTGTTTTTCGCAAAATCGCCCCGAGCGAGATCGCCGGGCGGCGCGCGGTTGCGTCGTTTTATCGACGAGACGCGCTTCGCTCGATTATCGCGATGTTCTCTTGGCCCCGCGCTATATTGGCTGCGTTCAGCAGAACTCAATGTTTTGTAAACGGTTTAGTGATACATTGCAACAGTTTGGATGTTCTGCTGAACACTCTTTGTACTCGTCAGAGTGGTACATATATATATATATATATATTTTTAAACACCGAACTAACCTTTCATTACTTGCTGTAAAATAGTTCTACATGCATTTTTATTATTCAGCTGTTACATTTGATACACTTATTACATTAAAAAAAGATCTATATAAAATTTGAAACGTTTCTTCTTATTTTTGCTTATTTGCGAAGTATATTTCATTATTAAATTATTTATACATATCTTTTTCTAATTGCTCGTGCACTTGTATAGAATCTACATTATATATAACGTCTTTGTATGTGTATTACGCTTCACATAAATTGGGAGCATCCATCGTGCTCAACATGTTGTGCTTAGATTCAGCTTACTTTTAGTTCGCTGAAAAACACGGCGACCGCTGAGTAAACATGTTGAACCGCTGAGTCCGTTTAATACCGTTCCGAAGAAAATCATAAAACGGTGTTGCAACTGTTTTGTCCTGCTGAACGCAGCCATTGATTTGTCGGATCGACGCGCCGAAAGCACGGGCGTGCGTCCTCGCGTTCTTCGCTTACGAAGCTTACTCGAATAGGTGAACGAACTCGAGGTAAACTTTGCTGAACCTTTGATGACGCACGGTCAGAGGAACGGAAGGACGGCTGGATAATCGTGCGCGCGGCACGCCGACATTGTAGCCGTCACGCGTCGTCGTGAAACGTCATCGCTGATAAATGCGTCTAACAACCGGCAATCGCGTTTTCCCTTCGTCTGTCGATCGGCTCGTTGCTCATCTCGCTATCCGCTCGGCCTGATAAAATCCATCGTCTCCCCTAATCCCCCCGATGAAGGCACGACCTTTTTCCTCTTCCGAGGGAGGCCACGTTGCGCGTCGAACATCGCCATGCAAATGCGACACGCAAGTGCAAGCTCTCTCTCTCTCTCTCCCTCCCTCCCTCCCTCTCCCCTCTCTCTCCCTTTCTCCCTCTCTCTCTCGGTGAGCTGAGGAATATTCATGCGTCTTTGTGAAGCTACAACTTGTAAGCAGCTTTTGCCGTCATCGTTGTAGAACACGCAGGTTGACGCTTCTTCCGTCGCAAATAACATTTTCCCGCGCTCTTAAGCCGGCGCGGCGCGACTTTGGTGAAAAGTATATTATTAAACGTACGTTCGAGTTTTAAGAGAGATCTTTCTCTCTGCTGTGCTTTATTCGACGCACATGCGTAGCCAGCACATTTTTTTATTAGTAGACTGTTAAAGCGTCGGGATAATTAACGGATAATTAACGCTGACTATGGCAGGACACGTGTCAAGCGGTAATTGACAAACGACACGAACTTGACAAAATTAAATTATTTCTCTTTAGACAGACGTTTTCTTCTTCACGCTGCGCGTCGGCATCGTTATTACGAGCGGACGAACGCCAGATTAGCCTGATAAGCGTGAACAAAAGATACGGAGACCGTCGCGCTTTGACGAGTATTTTTTAAGTCGTACTTTTCCCCCTCTGGAGGAATTCGTTAGGCGGCAGGAAAGACGGCGACGCTTATTTGCGTGCCCATTGTTCCGATGTATCTTAACTTCTGACCCAGATCTTTTCGCGCGTTGTACGGAAACGCGGTTGAAAAATGTCGGAATCGTAAGAAAAAGAGAGAGAGAGAGAGAGAGAGAGAGAGAGAGAGAGAGAGAGAGAGAGAGAGAGAGAGAAGGAAATTTACAAATCGTAAGAAAATCACACAAACACAACAGACGATCGGATGACGCGCCGCCCGGGCCGATTGACTCATTACGATTGCGAAAACCTCTCAAGCGGAGATGCGAATAACTCGCTCCGAAGGAGCAACCACGTGCGCCGCCAGGAGCTTGAACCGCGGTGCTTTCGTAATCGTGGAAATTGAAGCACGGAATATGCGAATTCTCAGCCGTTAGGCAGAAATCGCGCAAACGGTACTTTAACTCGCGAGATTTCGCAAGGATGATTTGATTCTCATTACGTGGCTCGTCGCGGAGTTTACGGGCACCGCGGCGTTTCATCGTATCGCTTTACGACCTGCGCGAGTGTCAACGGGCCGGGGAACGCCGCGCACCGTGAATCGCTAATTGTTTCGTATGAGCGTAACTATGAAAAAAGAACAAAATTATTCACGTGCAGCAGCGACGGATTTCTTTCATCTGCGCCGTTAGGCTCCCGCGGAATTAGAAAGTCGATCTTATATTGTCCTTTATCGTCGCTCGCTCGTCGTTACTCCGTCACGCGCGTCGAGCAACTTTGTTAGCATACAATCGTTAGCGGACGAAATCGTCCCGCGCCGTGGTGGCGGAGACAATAGCTCTCGTACGATCGTCATTCCGTCGAAGCGGGCACGACCGACTTTAATTCGTACGTCGCGTCGCCTACGTAAAAGTCCCGGAACGTCGAAAAGTCGCGGACGCGCGGATACGTCACTGCCGGCGGTATCAGCTATGTTCTCTCTATTTTTTTGTCGCACGTCGCCATTTCGTGCGCGGAAATCATGACTCACGTTGCGAGAGGCAGGCTTGCCGAGAAATCACCGCGCGTTCGGAAAACGTCGACTGTGCACGCGCCAATGAAATATATCGATGACACGTGTCTCCTCCTCGATGCGTGAAAATCACTTACGCAATCGTGACTCGCGATCTCGCTCGCGACGATTAACGACGGGGTGTCGCGTACGGGACGCGGCGATCGATACTGTAAAGTACAAGTCGTACCGGCGGCGCTTGTATTATTTACCACAGGGATATGAAATTTCCCTTCAACTTGACCTCGCGCGATTGGCGCAATCAATACGGCGGCCGTTGCTGTTATTTTTAAAGATGTTACCGTATCATCGTGCGTATATCGTTCAACGACACTCACCCTCCGCGGTGCTGCGTGTCTCCGTCTCGATCTCGGGCGAAGCTTCGTGAAGAAGCAACGAGAGGCTGGGGGACGCATTAAATATCTCGTCGCTCCCGAAGACGCCGGCTGGCCATAACGCGCGGGAGTTTAATAGCCTCGCGGAGGGAGCGAACGACTTTAATCGTAAGTTTGAAGCGCGCGGAGAGAGAGAGAGAGAGAGTATAGCGGGAAGCATACATTCTTACATAAAGGCATAACGCACAACGCATAAGGAAATAAACCAATCAGAGAATCTTCATTTCTATTGCCACGCTTGAAATGAAAGACTCTGATTGGTCCATTTCCTTGTGCGTTGTGCATTATGCCTTTGTGTAAGAGTGTGTGTATGTGTGTGCGCGCGCTTCTCGCTTAAAGCGGCAAGCACATACTTCTGCAGAACGCATAATGCATAAGCAAATGAACCAATCAGAGTCTTTAATTTCCATCCCCACTCTTCGCTCCGAGGATCTAGCGGAGTTCAGAAAACATAATGGAGAAAGTGTCGAAAAGTTCATAAGGACGAATTTTTATGGTTAAGTTAGCCATAAGAAAGAAGTGTTGTCGCGCACGCATTGTTCTCTTTATTGTACTTCTGATTAGAATATCTCTCAGATTGACGATAATATTACGGTGCTTATTTTCTCATACAAAATGTCTTTTTCATATTCTAGCCTTAGCTCGTCCGAAACACATGGGCGATATTTGCGTGGCGCAATATTATTATGCGCATTTGTATGTGCGTCGCTCCGTGCCATACTATGCGTTATGCATTATGTGTTAAGTAAAAGTATGTGTGCTCCCCGCTTAACAGACCTTCTGCCTGAATTTGCGCAGAATCATGGGTGGAGCTGAGCCCCGTGCCGGAACGGGTAACACCGCAGCCGTTTAGCAGCGCCGGCGAGGAATACCTGCGTCTTCTGCGGGAGGCACAAAGGGACTCCACACACTCGTCCGAGAGGCATTCCCTGGCATCTTCGCACCGAAACAGCCCAAAGGGCAGGTAAGAAGTGCCGCTCTTTATTTTCAATTATCGTTGCGCTCCGCACCCCTCTGAAAGCTGGAGTCCGCCGTCAAATGTGTTTTTGGAACAATGGAGAGGTACGCGATGGTACCTGCACGGATATTCCAACGCCGAAGCATTATAAATATTTCGACGGAGTATCGACAGGCTGTGTTTCGTCTGTTTTTCTCTCTCCGATCAGCGAACAAATATCGCTATGAACGAAGCGATCAGTTTTCGAGTGGAATTATATGTCGAGAAAAAAACAGACGAAACGTGTGTTTCGCGAGGCAAGGCTTTCGAATCAGTCGGATATTGCGCCGGATAATACGTCCGTCTGCGGGTTTCGCGTTTTCTTCATGAGCCTCGAGAAGAATCGAGATATTTCGAGATATTGCCTGATCTTTGAGCTTCTGGGTACCTTGGAGGTCTTTATATACGATGCTTCGCGGTTTCGGAAAGTTTCTCGCCGTCTCGCGCTGGCGTAAGAGCCGAGGATAACATTTTCGCAATTATTGGGTTGGCAACCAAGTGATTGCGGATTTTGTCGACAGATGGATTTTACACTTTCTTTTGTTTCGTTAACGTGTTCAAAGTACCTAACCTATATTTTTTTCTTATTGTTTAGACTTCTACCTTTCATTTAGTACAAAAATTATATCGATTAGTTGTTTAGTTTTGTTTTTATCCCAATTTAAAAATGGAAGAGCAAGACGTGCACTTCAGACATATTTTATTGTATTATTTCCGAAAAGGCAAGAACGCATCGCAAGCACACAAGAAGTTACGTGCCGTATATGGGAATGAAGCCTTGAAAGAAAGGCAGTGTCAAAATTGGTTTGCCAGATTTCGTTCTGGCGATTTTTCATTGAAAAATGCTCAACGATCTGGCCGTCCAGTTGAAGTCGATGAGACCCATATCAAGGCCATTATCGATTCAGATCGTCATAGCACAACACGTGATATTGCAGAGAAGCTCAATGTATCGCATACATGCATTGAAAAAAATTTTAAAAAGCAAATTTAAAATTTTGAATTTTCATTCTTATTTAAAATCCGCAATCACTTAGGTGCCAACCCAATACAACATCACGTACCGCTCTTCCGAGGTTATTCGAACGAGTGCGAACGCAACGGAGTCGAGTCCCGATCCCGATCCCGAGGCCGGGCACTCGGAGAATCGAAAGGTGTGCTCCGAAGCGAGTAGTCGGTCAACACAAGCCAACAAAGCCGGCCGTTCAACCCGACGCTTATATCGCTCCGAGTCTCCGACCGCCCACCCGCTGATCTACGGGCGCGTAAAAAGCTCGCTTTCCACTCCCCTATCTCTTTCACGACGGAGGGTCTCGGTTTAAGAAAATCAGCGACTTCATTTTCGCGTCTTCGTCATGCCTTGAAGAATCCGAGTCCGAGGTATGGCGACGACTCTTCGTGCGAGTCTTCATCCGTGCTCGAACGCCTCGAGAGCCCACATGTCTCGGAACGCCTCAAGACTTCTAGATAAGACCAGAAAAAGGAGGATAACCTACTGACACATTGGCTGCGTTCAGAAAGCATAACAACGGTTGAGTGATCGCCTCTCTCGAAAGATGGATGTTATTAGTAGATGTAGGAGGATACACCAATCGTAGGCAACTCTTACTGAGCAGTTGAACGATCTTGTATTTTTTTAAGGCAGCCGACAGCGGCTGTGTTGTGCGCCTCGGCGAGTTGCGGACTCAGTCTCGCCGCGCCGCGCGCTGCGACAGCCGTCCGGCAATTTTGATTCGACGATTACACACGTGCGGCGCGATCGGGAAAAATAGGCCGAAAGGCGACAGAAATGTCGGGAGATGTATGAAATGTATCTACAAAGTCACCGTCAATAATGCTACAGTTGTGTTTCCTGTTTGTGTATTTTCTTTCAACTTCTGACGCAAAGCGGCTGGAAGTTCTCGGAACGCGCCTCTTGCTTGCAAAATATCGCAAACTTTCGTCTCTCTTTCTCTCGGAGTGAAGTCGTCAGTCACGGAGGCTTGACGCATATCGCTACTGATTCGATTATCTCGATCTATATCTGCGCTCTCTGATCAAACGACGCATCAAGCTCGATTCTCGGCCGGAATGATGTCACAATGGACGAAAATAGCGATATCGCGTGTCACGCCCACGAAAACTAGTCGCAGACGCGTTCGCAAATAAACACTCGTATTTACATACTTTTTTTCTATATCGGTACGTACGTGACGAAAACGGGCGCAACGGCAGTGCGTGGCGATCATCTTAAGGGTATCATCGAAATAACGTCGTCGTGCCGCGCGCGTGTGCGGCTCCCCGCGACAAATCTCTTGGCAGCGGAACAAAAGCGGCGTTCCTTTGTGCGACTGACGAACAAAGGGTGCGAATTTTCGAGACGTACAAGGTGACTCACCGGGATTTTTTAGCCGTTTAGACCAGTGTTTTTTTTCAACCTTTTTTATCTCACGGCACACTTGAACTTATAGTTATAAACTTCCACGACACACTTAAATTATGATGATCAAAAAAAGAGTATAAAAAGGAATATACCTTTTTTGATTTATTTATTAACACAAAAAAGAGCATCATCACGGCCAAAAAATGAAACAAAACAATTTATTATAATTTATTATAATTTATTATAATTCGTGATAAAAAGATAATTAAATTTCTAAAAAAATTTTCGCCGCACACCTTAGACCCTCTCACGGCACACAGGTTGAAAATCACTGATCTAGACTAATATTTTGCCTTTTTTTGTTTTCAAGAGTGGAACGTTGTTACGAAGATGTTAGCGTGCGACGGAACGGCATCGATTTGTTCCTCTCGCCCCGCCGTTGTCGGTGGAATCAGCACGGCCGTGTCTTTCGCGGAATGTCATCTCGAGCGTGAAATTCGCCGCGATCATGTTATCGACAATGTCATTCGCGTATCGCGAATATCCGTGTTGGAATTTCTCTCTCTCTCTCTCTCTCTCTCTCCGAGGGCTGACGGGATGTGAATGACACGTGACGCGATGCGACGCGCGCCACTCTGAACCGCTCGAACAAGCTCAAACATTCAGCACCCTGTCGGTGTTTGCCTCCGCGATCGCGGACTATTATCGCCAGCTACCTGTTTCTTTGCGCGGAATTCTTCACAAGGGAGTCTTTGCCGCAGGCGGCGGTTAAGCCGCTCGTCAAATATTGTCGCGCCGTCGACCGAGTGTTCTCCATGCCAGCCTGACGGACAGGAGGAGCTCGAGCTTATCGTTGCTCGCGTAGAATTTGATAACAAAACGTAACTAACTCTGGTTGCGTTTTGCGATAGCAGTTATCATAAAATGGTCGACGCGTATGTTTCACTAAGATACGACGAAATTGTTCTCTTCGGGCGATTGGGAAATTACAACAAAGTGTGTGTGCGACGCGAGACTGTTATTCGAATGTATTCTGTAAATTCCCCGGAGAGGAATCTCCCTGTAAACGAACAACAATTCGGACTCGGAGTAACCGTGAAAATATCGCCATTCGGAATCGCGCAAGAGTGACCGTTAAACTCGCACCTAAAGTGAGTCCTTAATCCGTACGAGCCGATTGGAGTGCCCTAGCTTCAAGCGACGGGGACAAACGCATACGAGATTTTCCTTTCTACTTTAAGTGAAAATATTCACTCGCGACGATTCAGAGCGAAGGAATTCACACAGAGTGTTGCACGGAGCAGGAAAAGTCGCTCGCTTTCAGAGGACCCGGCTGTGTCGCTTTACGCTTCGAGTGAAGTCTTGCCCGGAGCAATTTCGACGAGAAATTATACAGGACGTCTCGTTGCGCGAGGCAAGGACGAGATTCGCGATCGTCGCTGCAATCCTACGGACGATAGAGACTGCGAGTTAAATCGCGCGAATTTTTATCGAAAAACCTCCCCCCCCCGTAAGCTCAGTCGGAGGGTTGATAACGCGTAAACCCTGCGCATTATACACGCGTTGCGTAATTTACATATCACCTAGATGCATTTTTAGCGCACTCTTCGCGAGGGCGCATCGACGATAACGGACTCGATAGCAGCCCGGCGATAGCCGACCTCTTTTTTTTTTCTTCTTTTTCTTTTTTTCATATCGCCGTGCAGCGACGTGTCACGCGCCGGAATAACCGCATCGCCGACTGCATTGCGACTCGCGACCGATCGACGTCGTCGCGACTTTGTAAAGTGTGCGATCACGCGTGCGTGGGATTACGGATTTCCAAGGTGAAGATTTATCGCCGCGAGTTCCCCGCTCGCTGCTTATCGCGAATTGCACGCTTATCGCGCGTTCTAGGTGAAATTCACGACGACACTGTTTTGCGAACTTACCAATGTATGTCAGTGGAAAGGAAAAGCACGGCGGAAAATCTTCGCGGGGAACGAAGTTTCGCGGAGGGAACACGCCGGTATCCTGGTGTGCACTATAATGCATGCGGAAAAGAGAGGAGAAAAAGATCGGTGGAATTAATTCTCAAGAACTAGATTTTCAGTCCTCGAGAACCGGAGGGGGGGGTCCCGCCTCGCGTGTCGCTTTGCGTAGCTGTGTCAATGTCGTGTTAATTGAGCCGACTTTCTCCCCTCCGCATATAAATCAAATAAAACAATTCGATCGAATCGATGGAACGACGCGCCGGTCTTACACAAATTACGGGCTCGTTTGCGATTCAAATTAGCGCCGAGCACGGAAACAAAGGCGTTATCTACACTCACACAAGCGCGTTATTTACACTCCGACGTTGCTGGCATCACACAGCAATTATTTGCTTTAACATCCTCGCGCTTTGGCGCACGCTAGGACAAATAAATAAAAAAAAAACATGACATAGGAGAGGGAGAAAAAGCGCGGAAAAAATTTATTCCACCGGATGGAATTGAATCATTCACAGCTGCGTTTCGAGTATCTGCAAACACACTTCGTTGAATCGTCACGGCTATATCGAGCTCGCACGCATCTCGACATGGTCTGCGGTGGATCAATACCGAAATATCCCTCAAGCCGACGAAAGGGGATTTGCATATGATTAATTAATTGGCGAGGTAATAAAAATACCAGTGGAATCGAATTCGTGGTCGGAAGGAAAGCGCGCCGAGCGATTGTGAAACAAACACTGATCAAAGAAGCAAGATCGACTCACGATATCGAGGAGATGCTCGACGCGGAGAATCTTCCCTCGCACCCGTGGGGGTGCGCTCTCCCCTTTGTAAATTGTAATAACACGGCGTTTCCTTCGATTTTTGCAGTCCGAAAAGCCCGCCGAACAGCCCGAACACGGAACTCTCGATTGAAGATGAGCTCAAGGGAGTCTATATCAATTACAGCAGCAGCAGCAGCAAGGTCAGTTTCATAATCGATTCTTACTACGTTATGTGTGCGACTGTAGGAAGCCTCGCGCGCGTCTTCCATGTGTGTGTGTGTGTGTGTGTGTGTGTGTGTGTGCAGCTATATTTACTTTCATTATGTCGCACGTACACTATGATCGCGGCCGTTGCGGAGTCGAATGCCCCAGAGAAGCGCGTCGAGATTGCGATCGAATTTCTCCTGCGTGAATAAATTGACGATAATGACGATAACCGATCAAAGTTGAGGTCAATGCCGAAGGTCGATTATTATTGTTGAACCGTAATTAATTCAGCACTCTGGGGCAAGTCCTTTCAGCGCAGACTACGCATATATACATTGCAAAGTGCGATGATGGGGCATATTATTCCATGCAAAATGCAAAATGAGCGCGATTAAAGAAGGGGAAAGCGCACGAGCGTTGCATTCGTCACCGAGAAACACGGCGAAAACAAAGAACACGACATGGTTATCGCGAAAATGTGTGTTCCGTGAGAAAGAGTTGCTGATTTTTCCTGTCACGGAATTGTCATGCAGTTTTATTTTTTTTTATTTGACTTCACCGAATGGATCTCTTTCATGGTCTTACCCGCGATCGCGCGATTATCCTGCGATAATTCGCGGCGCTTCCAAGATTTCGTAGAGCAAAAGACGCCGACTTCGTGCACGCGTGTGTGCGCAATATCGATTTGCGCCGTGCTATGTCAATGTTTTATCTCTGATACGCTTACTTTGTTCCGTCGTCGTCGCGGGGGCGCGGGGGAGTCGCGAGGAGCGTGCGATAAGTTCCGTGTTTTCAGGCAACGAGAACAAAGTGTCGGTGTGTGCCGCAAAGCTGACGCGATGAGAGACGTCCGTTCCAATTTGAAGATTGTCGCAGCTCTCGAAATAATCGCTTCGTGCAACTTAGCCGTTCGTACTTCGCATGCCCTGATTTGAAACTTACCCCTCTTCCTCTCTTCCCTATTTGCATATCATTATTCAAGCTCTCACGCGTGTCGTAGGATCTCTTCGTAACGTCCCGAGATGCTGTTCTCGCAACCATCAAAATATAAATCTAAATATAAATGGGACATGTTTATCAAATTGCGATTGGCAACTTCAGGACGTAGGCCGCGTCGCGGACAAAGATACCAAATTCCCCGTCTTCGTTGAGAACGATCTCTCGCCGCTCTCTCGCAGTTAGCCCGATCTAATCGACAGCTAGAGCTACCGCCGGGGGCAGCAATCGACATCGATTGGCTTCAGCGCTGGCGAGCAGAGCGCTATATAGATGCAGCAGCGTCGTCTAGAGCAGCGGCGTGCAACTGGTTGTATATCGAACGAGAGCCGCGCCGCGGCGAGGTCCCTTCCGTACAAGGTCTCCGGATCACTGACACCATTTAGTCGCGGCGCCCTTTTCAGCCGCCGATCGCTCGTATCACGTGCGTCGTCAGCAGCGGGGCTGAGAGGAGGGAGGAAGGTTCTCTCCTCGCCTCCCCAAGTCGCTTGATTGAGAGACCGCTTCGTCGTGTCGTGTCGCGTGTACGCAATGCGCAATGATTTTTCAAAATATCGATAACGATATTATCGTCATTCGGAATCATCGGTAACGATAATATTTATAATTTTGAAAAATATCGATATTTATTTATATAAAAAAATGTATACATAAAGGGTATACACGGAAAATTTAAAAAGATCTTTCAAAATTTTTATCTTCATATAATTTATTGTCATATTCTTATTAGAAAATATGTAATATAAACCGCAGTCGTTTGTCGAAGATCACCGCATATACATGGAGCGGGAGATCTATTACGGTTCAACGATTGAGGTGAAAATGATGAAAATGAGCGAATTTACCAGACATCGACCAATTACGTAATATACGTGTATTCCAGTGAATTCACTCACTTTCGTAATTTTCATCTCGGCCGTAGAACCGTAATTGCCCCAAAGTGGCCCCTAGAACTGTAACTGAAAAATACGAAATATCAGTAAAATTCATATCGATAAATACTCGATATTTGTCTCTCGATATATCGATACGATTTCGTTGCATCTCTGGTCGCGTTTCTTCATTTTGCGCACGCGGCTGTCTCGATACAATCGTCGTAATCCGCGTGCAAATCAAAGAGAGAAGCGCGCGACGCAGGTAAGAAGAGCATCGTGCCGGACGAATCGAGCGGGGACGCGCGCTCTCTCGCGTTGTGTATAATCGCGCGGAGTCGCGCGGGACGACCCCGTGACTGAAACAATTTGCATGCAAATGCCGCGTTATCCAGCAATTATTTATGCGACGTCGCGTACGACGTTCGCCGTTCCGTCGCGTTTGTATCTGCCATGATATAATTATCGAGAGCCTTCTCATTCTCTCATTCTCGCTCCCCCTTCATTCTCACTCTTTCAATTTCCCCGGAGAGGAACAGAAGGCCGCGCGATAAGGCTCGCATTATTTCCCCGACGACGACGTCGCGCGGTATCTTCGGCGATAAGTCGGAGAAATCGGAGGAGTCGAAGGAATAATCGATCGGTGGTTCGCCGCAAGGACGTTCGCAAAAGCGGCGGAGACATTAGGCAGTGGTGCAATCTCTTCGTTTCTCGAGAAAGATGTAGTAAGGTCGAGCGAGTTAAATTTGGATTAATTTCCGCGGGGGAAACTGGTCGAGTTGATAATCGCAGCATCGCAAATTCTTCGCGCGATTCTCCGCCGAAATGAGAGAGCGAAATCTCGGCTGCCGGTGGCGACGTAAATTTCCAGAGCGGTAATTTCACGCCACCGAAGGAGCCTGTCCTGTCGGAAGTTGGACAAGTCTTTGTGTCTAATTAAAAATCCGCGCGATCGCGGCTTCGTGTGTCTTCGTATGTCTTCTCCGAGAATATTCGTGGTTGCAACGTCTATCTACCTCATGTCGCATGCACCGAGTCATTCATCACGCTTTTCGCGGCGATACAGTCCGGCGGGTCGAGTGTTGTTCATTTCACTCGTCGAGCGAGACTAACGACATCTTTTTCTCTCACTACTCACACGCTTCTCCTTTTATCGGTCTTCGTTCTTTGAAGGCTTTATAAAAATATCACTTGTATGTTTTTTCGCACTCCGAAAATACGAAGTCTGAAGATGCGGCGCGAAAGCGGAGCGTCGTTAAGTCGGGGAAGGCCTCGTCATTTACTTCTCGCGGAACGACGTAAAGACAAATACAACAAATGACACATATAAAAATGTAGGCAAAAAGAGAAATACGTCAGGGATAGAAATAGACGTCCTCTCGCATCGAGTCTCTCGAGCGTAATCAGCAGCGATATAACGGGAGAATCCGCGATAAAGTCGCGGATTCTCCCGTTCTCATCTTTTATTGTCCGCGATGAGAGAGACAGGCAGAGACAGACCTCGTTATCTCGGGATCGAGATTGACGATTTTTCGCAACAGTATACGTAACATCTCCAGGACGATGTTCTGTACAAAGGTAGCCGTGACAGTTTGAACTCATCGATAAAGCTTGGACTCGCTTTATTATGCTTTCTGTGTGAGAAGCGACGCGCGGACGAAAATAGCAACAAAGACCGACTGTATCGCGAGGCATGAGTAATAACGATAACAAGTGGAACTGACCGTTCGTGTAAGATTTTTCCATGAGTCACTTGTGCCGTATTCTTTAGCACTTCTTGCGAGATCACTGTCGCTTTGTATCGCCGGCGAGGAAAACGCGCTCGCGCATTTTCGAAACTCGCCTCGTGATTTAATTATCACGGCAATTGAACTTTTTCAGATTCGCGTGGTATTTACCGTGGAAATGATATACATAAAAATATCGTATCGTTAATTGATCGATGATTTAATTAACGTTATCGCCGTGAAATGAAATTCAATGAAATCGGATATACAGGAGCGATGATCAAATGAAAGTTTTTATTATTAATCAAAAGTGCACGTTACGTGAATATGCATTTATTTTCGCTGCGCGCTCTCGCGCTTTCGTTTTTTTCCTTTTCACGCGAGGAAAATGCAACCGCCAGAGATGCGAGTCACGCTTTTCACCGGTACCCGCAAATCCGAATGTATTATTTTGACACGCGTAAGCGCGTAATTGGCTGGAACGTTTTTCACACTTGAACGTTAATACGTTTAAACGTGTTAAAGAACGTCGAAACGAATTAAACGACGTGATACAAGACGACAGAAGCAAAGGAAGCTTCAGCCAATTACGCACTCATGCGTGTCAAAATAACACACTCGGATTTGCGGCGTGCGGGGTGTATGTTTACGAATGACGAATAATTTATGAATGTTTGCTGCGAGAGTCACGTGTTCCCAAGCAGTTGTGTACAAACAAGTTCACCGGCGCGTTCGTAGAAAATGATTTTCCGCGTCGACTTATGTGTAACACATCGCGGAAATATCTTTCCCAACTCGCGCGAGAGGTCTACGCGCTCTCTCTCTCTCTCTCTCTCTCTCTCTCTCCCGAGCGCGCGAGTCGCGTAATGCAGACACTTTAATGGATCATGCCGCTTCTTACTTTCCTCCTTCTTTCACATTAATCGCGCATACAGCGCCGTGGAAATCGTCAGGGGAAACGCGCGGCTGACGTTTCCCTACTTTCATTCGTCATTACGTCCATCCGAGTAGTATAGTCGGCGAGTTACTTCCTTCTGGCTGAGACGCAGTTTCATTTTAAATGTAATGTTGCAAAATGAATGAAACTACCAGCGCGATTTTTCTCAGTCAACGAAGAAGCACGAGCGCGACGATCCCGGCGGATTAATTCACGTCGTCGTTAATGAACCTCTTGCGTTTCTTGCACTTTTCTCAAACTTTCGTGTTTCGTGCAAGTCGAGCGATTCCGATCATCGATCGATTTATAATCTTACTTTACTTTTATACCTATTACTTTCGTTATTTTAATCTTTTATATATTTCTTACATATTTTACATATTTATATTTTATTATTATGTTTATATCATCCGTTGTTTCTGTAATTTCTTGTTTATTTCACGCGATAGTTTTCAAACACT